GACAACAGGAACAATGTGAGACATCCATATTACATGTACTTAGTGTTGCAGATAAAAATGTGGCCCGGTATCAAAGTGTTTCCAGATTAGAGGGTGTTCCAGATAACAGGATGTCCAGATAACACGATATTACAGGTAACAGGGTGTTCCAGATAATATGATGTTAAAAAAACTAGGTATACAGATAACAAGATGCCCTTGTAACATGGCGTTTCTTGATAACAGTGTTCCAGATACAAAGGCGTCCAAATAAAACGGTGTTACAGATAACAGGATGTTCCAGATAAAAATGTGCCAGATAACAGGGTGTCCTTGAGGTAACGGGGTGTATTCAAATATACTCACTTACGCAAATCCTAGAAACATATAGAGAAGTATGTAAGTTAAGAAGAGATGTTTCCGATGTGTACAACTTATTGACAAAGGTAACATTCAGTTACGTGTTACCACAGTGTCTATATTCTTATCACATATGCTGCACGTGATTTCCAAACTTGACACCTATTCCTGCACGAGACAAATGGTGCATCTCGAGTCATGGCTCTATGACGTCTCATGTGATGCGTTCATTAGCGTCGGTTCACACAACATATCAGTATGTGTTCGTTTGTGGATCAAACCAATCTAATATCTCTTGAATATGCATAATTCTTAATATCTTAACCTACATATATGTACATGATATTCGCGTTCTTTTTGTCGGTGAGTATGTTATCGTGTTTCCAGATTACAAGGAGTTTCAAGATAGTAAAGTGTTTCAGAAAGGAGGTTGTTCCCAGCATACAGACATTTTTCAAGATAAGTTTTCATTCCAGTTTAATTTTTTTTTCGAGATTACAGGCTACATGCAGATGGTGGTTTGTGTCAGATATAAGTATTGGTATGATTCTACAGTATTCTACTCGGAACCTATTTCAGTATCAACGAAGTGATCAGCAGCATCGATGTTGGCTGCAGGAATGAGAGAGTGAGCGAATAAGGTTTTGCGCCGCTGTTCCAATATCCTAGAAACATCACAGCGGCGGACACCATATAATATGGTGTAAGAATGGAACGTTGAGGGGTGGAAATGGATATCACTCACTCACTCACTCACTCACTCACTCATTCACTCACTCACTCACTCACTCACTTCCTTGGCTGCATGATTGTCTGAAGTCCATCCCTTCTCAATCAAATCAGTACGTACAATGCAAAGGGTTCTTCTTTTGACCGGTTCTTCCTCCATCAGAGGGCACTGGGGTAGCCTAGTGGTTAAAGCATTCGCTCGTCACGCCGTGATGTTGCTGGAATATTGCTAAAAGCGGCGTAAAGCAATATCCAATCACTCACTCACTCACTCACTCATAACCGCCGTGTCTGACGTCAACACAATCCGTTGAAAAGTTCCAGGTGGCTCAGCGTAGTCTGTCAGGTTTCAGGAGAACAAACGGATAGATAAAGTACTGGAGTGTTTTGTGTCGGGGTCGGGTTTCCAGTCAGTGATTATCTCTGCCCCTAGTTACATTTGACACCCCTACCGTCACACACAGATATCACCCACACGCTAAAACACAGCAGCGTTCTTGTGGAACCAGCGCCCACCTCCGATCACAATATGTGCTGGGTCTTCGAATGAGTTTCACAATGCATGGCGTCAACAGTACTTCGGTTGTCTCATGGCGTGGCAGGTTTATGTGGGAGGGTGAATGAGTGAGTGAGTGAGTTGGGTTTTACGCCGCGTTTAGCAACATTCCAGCAACATCGCGGAAATCGAACGCTTTAGTGGAAAATCCAAACATTACCAGGTCTTGAACTTTGATCACTTTGACGGAACCCCAGTCTGTCCTACAGACCTAGAAACAAATATATCCAATACAGCCCATGCAAGTCTATAATATTTGGCAAGTCTAGATTACTGCAGTATGAAAATGAAGAAGTCTCTGGGCTCCTTTTTATTATATTTATAACTATAATTTAACTGGTTTTATTCTGTAAAATAGTTTATTTCAGAGACCAGATGTTAGTCCAACGTTGTCCGCAAGCAAGGGGGTGTTTTCGAGAGACCAAGAATCACTATCAGAATCTGGTACAGATACAGTGAGTGAGTGAGTATGGTTTTACGCCGCTTTCAGCAATATTCCAGCAATATCACGGCGGGGGACACCAGAAATGGGCTTCACACATTGTACTCATGTCGGGAATCGAACCCGGGTCTTCGGCGTGACGAGCGAACGCTTTAACCACTAGGCTACCCGACCGCCCCTGGTACAGATACAACGACTGGCATTTGAAATGAACAGGGATCGATATCTCTGTACGAAATAGATGAGGCCAATGTGCCTCTTTAGCATTTGGAGAATATGCAATGATACACAGCCCTGTAATGTTTCCTTATAGCATGTGTATGAGTGTCTGTGTGAGTGAGTGATGCCACGTGGGCATCGAATCTAGAACTTCAGCGTGGCGAGACAACACCTTTTCAGCGGGAGAATAGATCCCTCATACCCCGCCACGAACAAGACAGGCTGCACGTGGATTTCTGAGAGGCAGAATAAATCCCATATACACCCTTCGAAGATAAAAGCCTCACGCTTTTTCCGAGTCAGTGAAAGTCACGTGACATAGCACAAGTTAACCTCAGCTCAACCGAACAGCTGTTTTCTATCAATTTTTAATTATTATACAACGTCATATTAAAACATGTCGGCAAGATAAATTCGCTGTAGCAGTGGTGGTGAGTGGTATAAAACCTAATGTGGGAGCATAAAACCACATGTAGCCCGATTATTACCGCTACAACTTTTAATGTCACCAAACTGATTGAAGTGATTGACAGCGGTCGTTATTATTCCTATGTAGGGGAGGGGGCCATATTCCCATCCGACAACATAAACTTCTCAGCTTCACTATCGTAGGTAAAACGAGATGTAATACACAATTTATATGTGTTTGTTGTAAGCTTGTCGTAAGTGGCATCTGAATGGATCTGGTTGTCAGACCCGGATTTTTTTATTGTTTGTTATTTAACGCCGCACTCAGTAATATTTCAGCTGTAATAATCGAGTCTGGACCAGACAATCCAGTGATTGACATCATGAGCATCGATCCACGCAACAGGGATACGATGACATGCATCAACCAAGTCAGCGAGCCTGACCATCTGATCCCGTTAGTCGCCTCTTACAACAAGATCTGGGTCTTCACTGGAGGAGACAAGCATGGGTTGCTGAAGATCAATTCCAACTCTGATTTTCAGGGGGATGTAATACAATAAACACGCTTTAACTTGGTACATAACTTCTGTTGATAAGCAGCTTTTGAAGTTCACATCCCAAATATATAGTGTGTGTTTCAAGGATTTATTTGTATCATGTTTGTATATTATATTTTGTTTTGTTTTGTTAGTTCGTTTCATAAAATGTTGTGTGTTCTGTACTGATTGCACTTGGTCCTATCCGTGTATATAGCCATCTAAACATACAAACTAGAAGCACTTTTGGAAGTACAGCAAAAAACGCGTTAATGTGGACGGCACCGTTCCAAGTGCTTACCTGGATTAAGACAATTCCTGGATTAACGAGTGATTATATGTAGCCGTTCCTGACAGTTATTCCTGGGTAATCCGGGTTTCAGGACTAACAGGATTTTAACTGTATATCATTTGTGTTAATACATATTTATTAAGTATGCAACACCGATATTTGTTAACGTAGGCAGGAAGTTGAACTTCTCACCTTTTCTCAATAACGTCAACCACAGCCATCTTGTAATGTTGATTCTGGCACAGAGCTGTATTACTTTCAGTCTGTTGAACGCGAACAATGCTGTGTGTCGAATATGACATTAATACCCGTATGTGTTCTTCATATAACCGCTTGTCCGAAGCAGGTCACCTTAAGGATATACCTATGGTCACTAAACGCCAGTATATGGGTTAAGAAGATGTTTATAAACACGATGGCCTCAGGCCAATGTCCCAAAACAAAATAAAAATAAAACACAGAAATCGTGAAGAAAATGGTATATATACACAACTCAACAAAAGTAAAATATGCTACTCGGGAGAAGTTAAAAAACACCCGATTTTTTCATTATATTTTGGGACTGAGGTTATATATATTTCAATACATTAGAGCTGTGTAAAAGAACCTATTGCGTAAGTAATTTAATGTCCGACAATATGCCTTACATTTAATAACCAAAATATATAAAAATATTATACCTGAAAGATCAGTATGTGATGTTTTGTTTTTTAACTTGCACTATACATATTACCTAAAATAGCTGAACTTATTATTTCCATTCAGCTCTGATTGTCTTAGGACACCGTTACTAACATGAAGAAAAGTATGTTCCTGAAAGTATTACATGAAACTGTATCTCAATGAAGTATATAAGTTACATACTGGCACTGTAAATTTAATATCAAGTTCCAATTGGGAGTAAATATGGTTTAACGCCGTTTTCATGAATATTCCACCAATATCACGACGGGAAAACCAGAAATGGACTTCACACATTACACCCATGTGGGGAATCGAACCCTGGTCTTCGACGAGACGAGCGAACGCTTGAACCACTAACCTACCGAGCGTCCTCCCCCTCACCCCCCCCCCCCCCCCCCCCCCCCCAAAAAAAGAAGACAAAATAATTGTTTTTGTACGTAATTGGACACAAATAATGAGGACAAAATAATGGAGACCTGGTTTTATACAGTAGCATGTTTAAGAGTCAGTATAGAAGGAGTGCAACGGATCTATCCATTCCACCGTTGCATGCAGCAAACCACAAGTGTCCTCAAGCTTGGATTTTAAACGCAATGAGGCCCATAGCTTTTAATGACCTTACAGGTCGTAGCTATAGGAGCGCCCCTTAGATGATCCACGTGATTATTCCACAAATACCCATAATCCTTTGTTGCTCCGAACCGGCTTAAGGATTTGCCAGATTGTAGCATTATTGTTTATAATGTGTCTATGATTGTGAAGTACGGAGGCTCCGTGGGCTGCGTTACGGCTGAGAGGCGACGGCTTACTGAGTACTCACACCGAACCAGATCTATTAACACGATCTGATCTCCATACTCGGGATCGAACCATAAATCGCCCTGCTTGGGAGCTCTCAGTCGCTCGTGGCAACGGGTTAAGATCTACCCGGTAGCGGGGCACTGCCGACACTCTAGTCTCAACTACCGTTAGGACATAGCGGGGAATAGGATAGCGTAGCGGGTTTGCGCTTTCTAAAATGTGACATCACAAATTGCAGTTAAAAGTTTCTTATTCAGAAGCCTTGGATCACTTTCTCCGTCCTGTGAGATTTTTAAAGATGGCGGAGCTCGATGTCGCTAAGTTTCCTGCCGGAAACTGGATCGCGCATCAATTACGACTTGTGAATGATGACAGCAAGAAGTTGTTTCCTTCCACGGCAGGGTCTAAGAGGTCATACAGAAAATATGATTCTCTTTATATGGTGGACTTCGAGGACTTCCCGGACGGTGCGCTGACCACTCGTATGATGGACAAACTCAATGTAGGTATTTTGCTGCGGTGGGGTCAAATCGCATTTTGGCCTTTATACTTCAAGATACAGGGGATACGTATATTTTGATTTGATCATACTCTGTTAACAAAAGTTTTAAAAAGTGTATCTACAAACACGTAAATATTATGAATAATGTAAGGCTGTATAGCTAGTAAATTTATATGATGTGTCGAAGCTTTTTAGCATACCGTAATTAACTGAAGTTAGACCAAGTTATTGAAATATTGAAAAAAGAAGACCACTCATGAAAATATCTCATTTCCCCCGTCACTCGATGAGAGAAACATGATATTTCACTCGACACATGGAACATCCCCTATAATCCACCTTCTTTGCTAAAACCGAATAGCAGCCATTTCGCTAAGTCCGGCCTTTTCCACTTCGTTATAGTCGCAATTTCGTTCATCCGATTTCGCCTTAGCCGTTCTTCGCTAAGTCCGGGTTCGTTTTAACTGAAAAATTGCTCTATCCCACTTTGTTGTATACTGAGCTTGTTCATAACCTGAAGAATCTACATAGTATTACTGAATAGACAAAACATGAACCAACATATCTAAGGTGTGGAATTCGTTGTTGGCGAGCTTATAAAAGGGTGTGAATGACAGTTATGGGTTAATGATATATCCTACTGATATATAAACCAGTTTGTCTGTAATTGTATGTAATAGGGATATATGATATACGTTTCGATAATCCTGGATATGTTTAAAATCATGACAAATAAGCATGCGATCTCTCTATCAGCACAGACACACAAGCAATGGCGTGTGACTATCATTTCAGAGAGTCACGTGATAGGCGGTATTATGGAAATTTACACGTTATTGCTCAATATGGCTGAATAAACATCATAACACTTGATTATTTACAGACCGCCGTCATATAGCTGGAATATTGCTGAGTGCGGCGTTAGACAACAAACAAACAAAATATAAACGTCTTCAAATACTGTAATAAATATCTACAAGCCTTAAGGGTGGCGCTGTGGTATCTAGTGATTAAAGCGTTTGCTGGTACAAGGGCACAATGTGTGAAGCCCATTTCTGGTGTCACCCGTCGTGGTGTTTCTGGAATAGTGCTAATAGCGGCGTAAAACCGTACTCACTCTCTGATATTGATGAATAAGTACATACGCTAACGTGTAAGTATGTCACATGGATAGTTGTACTGTTTCTAATTAAAACGCAACACCTTTAACACCGATGTTAACAATTTTAAATGTTATGAGGCGGGTTTAAAAAAAATGTATATATATACATCTTCATACATAATTAAATTCTCAAAACGTAAAAAAATATTGGTGAAAATATTCTTGTACCTTTTTCGTAAAATGTTCAATAAATTTTCACCTTATACGAGAATGCAATTATCATCGAAGAACTCGATTTATTATGATTTCAACCACTTAATTAACAATGTGATAGGGCCATAATATTCGGGCCAAAGAACCTATTTATAATAATACAATTCTCAGTCAATGGCAACAGTTTTTTTTATTTCAAAGGACGAGTTAAGATAAGAGACCGTTTTAGTCAATGAAAATGTCAGTTAAGGATTTACACTTCCACATTTTTGTAATTCTGACATGATTGGAAAAGGGAATAATTATTCGAAATTTAAGGGAAACTCTTATCATGAGTAAAGATAATTTTTGACCGCATGTTTGTACTGTTTCTTCATAAACCTATCACCGTTAGATTCCAAACAACCTCGGCTTACCTAGATGGGTAGTAAATCAGTAACTAGCTCAGAGTCCAAACCTAGGTTTTGAAATAGGTCACTTCTAAACCTGCTTTGGGGGTTTACAAATTTGTCCTTTGATATGAATATAATCTTTATTTGTGATTGGTTAAAAGTCTTAATTATTTACGTGAAAATTCCATGGCGTGAATCGAACCTGCAACCTCCATATTATGTTTAGTTTTTCCACTGAGCCATCGGGGCAGGTGATGAAGGACTGTTCAATTTTCCATGTCATGACTTCAGTTGTGTTCATGATGCATGTGTTGGTGGTTACGCTCGGTAGTTTAGTGGTTAAAGCGTTCGCGCGTCACGCCGAAGGCCCGTGTTCGATTCCGCACATGGGTACAATGTGTGAAGCCCATTTCTGGTGTCGCCCGTCGTGATATTGCTGGAATATTGCTAAAAGCGGCGTAAAACCATACTCACTCACTCACTCACTCACTCACTCACTCAAGTCTGGGACAAAGACTTGCTCATATTCACAAATTAGAAACAAACGCTTCCCGAAAACGCTCAAATCAGCCGTTTTGTCACATTTAGCTTTACCAGTTCGTTAGGTCGTGTTAAAAATCACGCCAACTCCCTGATAACTGTGATACCAATTTCTTCATGTTTTCCTCGCTTCTTAAACACCGCAGATCTCACGGGCCTCAAAAGGGGCCCTAGTGAAAGCAGATGGTCATAAAGCAGGTTTTTTTCTTTCTCAAATGTGGTAATTTGGAAACCATCACAGTAAACTATGGTTATAACGAACTTAAAGGGACCACTAATTTTAGTTCGTTATAACCGTAGTTGTAAAACCACGATGTATATTGATATGCTACCTTTTTATCCTGTCATTCCAACTTTGATATAGCAATAGTGCATACACAGTGGGTATTTCGTGAAGGGGCTTTGGGCCCTATCTCACATTCTCAGGGATCGAACTCAGTAAGTCGACGCTTGATGAAAACCTACAATCCAGCAATTAGCAATGTGCCGTGCTTTGCAGGGCACGCTGTTCACAACATTACACAGCGTGGCTTGCCAAGTGTGTGGGGGACAAAGATTAGTGTGATAATGTCTGTGGTATATCTGCTGATCACTGTAAGAGCTGAAGGCAGACATGCAAGATGAGACGTGGAGTCAACGGTCTGCTTGGTGCCAACTATAGACACTGGACGTAGATTATTATGTGTGTGTAGCTAATGGTAGGGCAGTAGGGAAATACAGACAGGGGGATGCATACACACACACGCACGCACGCACACACATACACACACACATACGCATACGTACGCACGCACGCATGCACTCACGCACGCAGGGGATAAAGGTGAAGGTAGACACATGCAGAGTTGCGTCCCTTGGGCACGCCAGAAACCTATGATTGTAGGTTCGAATTCCAGTTCTGCTCGATTATGTTTCTAGGTTTGTCAGCACCATACCCGTGCTCGTGGGTTTCACCGAAGTGATAAACGTCTGAGACCTGCATCACTTCGGGCTTTCCTCACACATTAAGCTGACACACCGCGATGTAACTGGAATACTGTTAAAAGCGCGTTAAACCCAACTCACTCACTCACTCATAAGGATAATACCTGTACAGTGGTGCACAATGGGTGCATTGCAAACTATTTTAAGACACTGATGCACATGTGGTTTTATGCGAGTGAGTCACGGGTGGAGATATGTGATTAATGAGCACCCTCATGTATCGTCTATGAGTCGCACGCAAGGTAATTGATTTGATGGGGGTTTTATGCCTTGAGTAGATACCCGCTGACATTTCAGTTCAAATCTGATCAATCTAGCGCGGTTAGGTAATGATTAGATAACGGGATAGTTGTAGACATATATAGGGGATTTTATGGCAGCCTGATCACGAACAGGTACATACGCAAGACGTCCGTATGAGACACACTAGTAACATAATATATATAGTATGAGCCTCTTCGTGTGGAGAGTGAGTTGGGTTTAACATTGCTTTGAACATTGTTCAAGTTATATCACGACATGTCACTTAACTGTGGCATTAAAGCCCGAAGTGATGCAGGTCTCAGACGTTTACCACTTCGGTGAAACCCATGAGCACGGGTATGGTGCTGACAAACCCAGAAACATATAATCAGATCGAAATTGAGGTTCGAACATATGTTTCTGGCACATCTAAGGGACGCAACTCTGCACAGTGTTGCAGAACCTTAGACAATTTGACTGCTCCTATGGTATATAATCAATTGCAGCCATACAAAGCGTCTCTGATCTAAACTGATATAACCGCTGGAATTCAAGGTCTCTTAAATTTCTGCTTGGTATCTTTATAAATACATACTACAGTTTACGTTCAAACAAAAGATAAGAACTCTTTGAATAAATTAACAAACATGTACATGTGTACTTCCCTTTGACTTACCTTTAGAAAGGATTACATATAGAGCATTCGTGTATATCCGGGTTAGAATAGATCTTCAGCAACCAATGCTTGTCTTAAGAGGCGACTAACGGGATCGGGTGGTAAGGTTCGCCGATTTGGTGGATGCATGTCATCGTATCCCAATTATGTGGATCGATGCTCGTGATGTCAATCACTTGATTTCTGGTCTAGAATCGATTATTTACAGACCGTTCTCATATAGCTGGAATATTGCTGAGTGCGGCGCTAAACAACAAACAAACAAACAAACAACAGGACATCATTACTATATTTAGAAAGCATGTCGCTGGTTCACTCAAAACAAATATTTTTATAGGCATAAGCCATGAAGCATAGTCCTTCTGTAAAAACATATTTGAATCCAATTTGCTGTGAGTATGGGGTTTATTTTATGTTTTTTTTACTGTTTAAGAAAAAAGAGGGGGTAGAAGCATGAGTAAAATATGAATGAAAGGGCGACAGGTGAAGGTGGTGAGGGCAAATTGGGTTAACGTGTTCAAGATTATGCGTGTGTGTGTGTGTGTGTGTGTGTGTGTGTGTGTGTGTGTGTGTGTGCGTGCGTGCGTGCATGTGCGTGTGCGTGTGCGTGTGCGTGTGCGTGTGCGTGTGACTTGTACTAGTCCGGATAAACTGTCATACAGACCCTGAAACAAATATATCCAATACAGCCTTTGCAAGTCCAGAATATCTGGCAAGTCTAGTATCTGAAAATAAAGGAAGGTCTCTTGGCTATTTTGTATTTATTTATATTTTATGACCATAATTTTACAACTGTTTTTTTCTGTAAATTATGTTCATTTCAGAGACTAGATGTTAGTCTGTAGCCCGGACTTATGCCGATTTTATAGTGCTAGCCCACTCAGATATCATGCCACAGTTTAACAGGCATACCCTATTCAGACACAGTGTAGTGACACCGAGACGGGCCGCACAGGCCTTGTTTTTTTTTACCATTATGCCGAGCGCCAGGCAGGGTAACAATAAGTACGCGTTGCCGGGGCCAGTGGAACTCCCGACCTTCCCCTCTCCGGGCAGACGCTTTACCACTAGACCACAGAGGCGGTCTGACTGTGTGAACGATTCCTTATGGATAAAAGATTGTGGTGGTGTTGAATTGGATGAATTTGTCTGTGATATTTCGTGCGTTTTTATATAAATATCAAGCCGTGTGTGTATTCACAAAATGTTTGTATTCCTCAACCATTAGTCACCGCCTCCGTGGTCTAGTGGTAGAGCGTCCGCCCGGAGAGATGGTACTTGTTGTTACCTTGTCTGGCGCTCGGCATAAAGGGCTTAAACAAGGACTGGTCGTCTCGGAGTCAGTATACTGTGTCTGAGTCTGGTATTCGTGTTAAACTGCGGCATGGTATCTCAGTGAGCTAGTACTAAAAATCGGCATTAGGCCGGACTAGTACAAGCAGACACACACACACACACACGCACGGACGCACGCACGCACGCTCGTCGCTATATAAGTGCAATAATCTTGGTCGCGATGGTGAACCCAAATTCACCTCACCTCACCTCAACCGTCAGTTTGAGCCATTGGCTGAAGCGCACGTAAATATAACTTATGTGGTACAAAGCTTCACAATTTCTCTCTGTTTTCACGGCTTCACAGATAGAGGGTGAGTCAATGACTTAGCTTTGATCAACAGTTAAGTTCAATCACGGTGTGTCAGTATTCACTAAAGAGATATTACTATTCATTATTTTATTTTGTATTAAGATATAGGGCTAACTGCAAGGGTTTTTTTTCCATATCACATTTGAACAAGTCTAGACATATTAATGAGCTGTAGGAACAAGGACCGGGCATCTTGTATTGACCAGGTATAACAGTAAACTGAAGTTCATAAAGTCCGGGCTTATTAGAGGAAATACAGTACGCTTTATGCTGTCAGCTGTATATTGCTGTTTGAGTAGTTGGTTTTATGCGACCGTCAAGGTCATCTTGTTCCTAATAATTCCACAAGAACATCTGTATATTGCCGGGCATATCAACGACTTTAATAGACAATTTGTCTGTCCGGTTGTCAAAAACCCTTCAATTTCCGGGGTTAGCCTTTCACAATTTCAGTTTTGTGCTTGAAGTCCTGAGAAAAAGACAAATTTGTTCAATTTCGTATCAAAATAATATGATAAATTGGAATGGGCGGATGCTAGTATTGTTGTTTTTCGAAAAAGATACGAACTAAATAATCTCAAATCAAAATCCCTTGACCGCCATGAAAAATTTGAAACATTAACCCCAGGATTCAATGAAATGGTTTATTACGTATAAAGTCCAGAAGTATTTGGTATTTTCCCTTTAAACCACAATATGCCCCTTCTTATCATACTGTGTCGCTTTAAATTCCTTAGCCATGGTGTCATCAAGTCTAAATGTACACGATAATGTCATTAATGTCAAGTACCTTAATGGTTCTCAACTAAATACTATAACCGAAAAATCACGGACTGCTACAACAAAGGACGCCAAGGTGCTCATCCAACGCTCTACTGCCCCGCATAGCCTCGTTCTGGTGTTTGTTTCAGCTGGAAGAGATCCAAAAGAAACGGGAGACGATAGCTGACGTGTTGTTCAACTCGAACTCTAGGGACCCGGGGCACGTAAGTAGAATGTTTTATTACTGTCTGGCTTTAATAATACTTACCTTCAGTTGGCAGGGTAGCCTAGTGGTTATTGCGTTAGCCCGTGACGCCGAAAGGATGGGTTTAATTCCCCAGGTACAATGTGTGAAGCCATTTATTGTGTACCTCGACGTGCTATTGCTGGAATAATGCTAAATTCTGTGTAAAACTATGTTCACTCACTTTCTCGTATGGTGGATTGGACACTCTACCATGACATTGAAATATAATCTAATTTAATTGGTTCATGGGCGATATCCACATGTGACCACACCACTGCACGGAATACGCGCGCAAGAAAATGAAAAACCCAGTTTAGTCGTGGTAGAATGGAGTTAAACCTATATTCATTCCTAATATTAATCGAATTGATTTTCATGTGGGTACTTCAAAGATGTCTGCCTCCTCATTTGAAAGAGTGTGTCAGTGAGTGAGTTGGGTTAACGCCTCTTTGAACAGTATTCCAATTACATCACGGCGTGTCAGCTTATTCTTTTGTTTGTTTGCTGTTTAACGCAGCACTCAGCAATATTCCAGCTATATGACGACGATCTTTAAATAATCGAGTCTGGATTGACATCTTGAGCATCGATCCACACAATTGGGATACGAAGACGTGCATCAACCAAGTCAGCGAGCATGACCACCCGATTACGCTAGTCGCCTCTTACGACAAGCAAAGTCGCCTCTTACGACAAGCAAAGTCGCCTCTTACGACAAGCATAGTCGCCTCTTACGACAAGCAAAGTCGCCTCTTACGACAAGCATAGTCGCCTCTTACGAAAAGCATAGTCGCCTCTTACGACAAGCAAAGTTGCCTCTTACGACAAGCAAAGTCGCCTCTTACGACAAGCATAGTCGCCTCTTACGACAAGCAAAGTCGCCTCTTACGACAAGCATAGTCGCCTCTTACGACAAGCAAAATCGCCTCTTACGACAAGCAAAGTCGCCTCTTACGACAAGCATAGTCGCCTCTTACGACAAGCATAGTTGCCTCTTACGACAAGCATAGTCGCCTCTTACGACAAGCATAGTTGCCTCTTACGACAAGCAAAGTCGCCTCTTACGACAAGCAAAGTCGCCTCTTACGACAAGCAAAGTCGCCTCTTACGACAAGCATAGTTGCCTCTTACGACAAGCATAGTCGCCTCTTACGACAAGCAAAGTCGCCTCTTACGACAAGCATAGTCGCCTCTTACGACAAGCATAGTCGCCTCTTACGACAAGCATAGTCGCCTCTTACGACAAGCATAGTTGCCTCTTACTACAAGCAAAGTCGCCTCTTACGACAAGCATAGTTGCCTCTTACGACAAGCATAGTCGCCTCTTACGACAAGCATAGTTGCCTCTTACGACAAGCATAGTTGCCTCTTACGACAAGCATAGTCGCCTCTTACGACAAGCATAGTTGCCTCTTACGACAAGCAAAGTTGCCTCTTACGACAAGCATAGTCGCCTCTTACGACAAGCATAGTTGCCTCTTACGACAAGCATAGTCGCCTCTTACGACAAGCATAGTTGCCTCTTACGACAAGCATAGTCGCCTCTTACGACAAGCATAGTTGCCTCTTACGACAAGCATAGTCGCCTCTTACGACAAGCATAGTCGCCTCTTACGACAAGCATGTGTTGCTGAAGGATCCCGGATCCTCACGGGTTGTCAGCTTCATCTGGAAAGCCCGAATTGATGCAATTTCAAAAAGAAAACGTGTATGTCTTGAAGCATTGACATCAATCTAACAAAGTTCAAATCCCCCATGACGTCCTAATGACTACCCATCCTCGATTATCCACTGTAGTATGTCTCCATGTTTTTATAATGATACCCTGGGCTCCTTTGCTATCGTTGCTTTGTGAGTGAGTGAGTAAGTGAGTTTTACGCCGCCTTTAGCAATATTCCAGCAATATCACGACAGAGGACACCAGAAATGGGCTTCACACATTGTACCCATGTTGGGAATCGAACCCGGGTCTTCGGCGCGACGAGCGAACGCTTTAACCACTAGGTTACCCCACCGCCACTGCTTCGTTTTGGAAGTGACGTCACTCTCTCCATCTCGCTTACCAGTTACCTCCTACAGAATTTGTGTCGCGGATGGGTTTGAAATTATCATTTACCGTGTATCGTTACAAATATTTTCATTCAGTGGTTTGCCTGATCCAGACTCGATCATTTACTTTAAGTCGTGATATTGCTAAATTAATTCTTACTTGCTGTGTTTAACAACATTCACTCACTGACTCACTGAACGAACCATTAGCTGTGACATATATTAGATTCACCATTACTAGAAAAGTAAAAAAGTAATTAATCGAAACGATTATTATTAAATAACAATAGTACTGATGATGATGATGATGATGATGGTAAACCTGGATACTTTTACATTCGTTATTTAAGAAAACCTTTAATCCTTATTACATTGTGTATATATACCATAACGTATCTTTAAAAAAAACCACACAAGCTGCACTAATGCTTGTGAAACTGGAACACTCTATGTTGTAGCGTCTAGTAGGACAATTGATTTGAATGTCATAACTGGGATTAATTTTTCAATGATAAACTCATTCCATATAACACCCCCCTGAACTATTGATGTCTCAATGCTATGTTTGACTGGAGATCGTGTTTTTTTCGTAGACCCAGATTAATATAACCCCCATTGACAATGCACACAGCAAATCAAAAATCGTTTTTGTTTATTCGACGGGGTTGTGTTACCTGCCCGATATGTCAAGGCTAGTCCAACAACTTACCCCGCTATACAACCCGCTCCCGTAAATTGTGTCCTTGTTAAGTCATTGTCTCTTTTTCTTACAAATACTTTTCCACTAGATACAATACTTAATAATACATATTCTCCTAAATAAAATACCATGACAATCAAATACAAATAATTTCGCTTTATAACGAGACAATAATCAACCCTTCAGAACGTAATTGTTTTCATATTACGCGCCTGCGCAAAGCATCTTGGTAACGCAATTATTACAAAGCAGACGACAGAAGTGGAAACTGGTTAGATTGACGCACACATCTGACATATTTCTTAAAACTTTGAAGAAAACATCGTTTGTAATCTGAAAGAAGCTATCAAACCCAAAGGTATGTGATTATCATGTTAGGATTAACATACATGTACATTAGACAGGTTTCGGTCAATGCAAATATATAGCTAATTTGCTGGTGTTGGGTTACAAATATACGTGAATCCATGTTGCTGGCCTCTAGCCTAGACAAGACAGGTCACTGAAATAATGTTAGGTTTCACGTTGTGATGTCTTTACTTGACGAATTCATCTTAAAATAAATACATAGGTATCCTTATGATTAAATAGGGTTAGAAACTAGCGTTCGAGCGTTTGAGACAATATTTCTGATACTGCGTTTTGGATCTTCGTAATCTGTATATATAGATAGATGAATTAAAACGATAGGGAATGTTTTTAGAATTAACAAATTGGAATATATGTTTTGTGAACCTTAGAAAGTTGTATATTTTTAATAGCTTTAAGTTACATGTAGAAGCTGTCGTATCAAAACTACCCAACAAAATTAAGTATATACTTGAAAATTCACATTTATTCTGCTCGTTACTGTGTACTGTGAAATTGCGACCATCCTGTTACTTGAGACACCGTATGTATCACCTGTTGTGAGATAGGCCTACTCATTGATTTGATATCAACTCCATCACCATCGGGGGGCACGGGTCGCCAGTCGTCTAAGGCGCCGCGATTCGCTGTGCAGAGTTGCGTCCCTTGGGCGCACCAGAAACCTATGATTGTGGGTTCGAATCCCGGTTCGCCCCGATTATGTTTCTAGGTTTGTCTGCACCATACCCGTGCTCGTGGGTTTCACCGAAGTGGTAAACGTCTGAGACCTGAATCACATCGGGCTTTCCTCCCACACTAAGCTGACACGCCGTGAATACTGTTAAAAGCGTCGTTAAACCCAACTCACTCACTCCATCACCATCGAATAACCATTGCTTGTTTGTTTCATGTTTAGCCACCATCAAACGTGGGTGTATACTTTCCGTCGCCCGGCAGCTTATGAAGGCAGGGTTCACTTATGGAGTCCAACTTCCTTTTTGAATTCTTTCACTGTGAGACCCGTGAAGATCCGGGGTAGAGTAGGTCTTCAACAACCCATGCCTGCCGTAAAAGACGACTATGCTTATCGTAAGATATTAAGAGGCGGCTAACGGGATCGGGTGGTCAGGCTCGCTGACTCAGTTGATGCCTGTCATCGTATCCCAATTGCGTTGATCGATGCTCATGATATCAACCACTGGTTTGTCTGGTTATTTACAGGCCGCCGTCAACAATCATTGTGACGTTTCAGTTCAGGTGCGAGTACGTTTTCCAACAACTGGGGATAACAAGGGTATACAGCTAGCTTTACATATAAACAGACCAACACATAGCTAAGTTCTCATATGTTCATAGATATGGCAATTTTCGACAATATCTTGTATATTTGTGGAACATACATTAATCTGTTGAAGATAACTGTAGCTCTTGTTTAGTGTTTCGATAGTTTCTGTCTATTAGTTCAGGGCATAACTAAAGCTCGCGAGATAGACATGAGTGTGAGCCTTGATGCCCCGAACTAGCATTTCTTAACAAACAGAGGTGTCCCAGGTTAGGGTTTGAATTAGGCTTACCTTGATTGTTATGTTTAATTAAAAGGGAGATATTCTTAGTGCCTGTATCGTATTTTTTACTATTATATTTACCAAGTTAAAATTTTGAGGGTAAACGTGGAAAGAATATACTCTACGTTTATAACGAACACACGAACTTACGGATATAACGAACTTATGCTGTATATATGCATATAACGAACTACGGTTATAACGATCTAAAATTAGTTATCCCTTAGAGTTCGTTATAACCATAGTATTCTGTAATTGATTTATATGATTAATGTACTGTTACTATTCATTTGGATGGTGTATAGTTACACTTATTGCTATATATTTTTTATAGCCTCCAAGGAGCTAATCAATATAATGTTAACAGGTAGGGTGATGATTATGGAAATGGAATAACACACAACATCTAGTCATGTTTATGGACACACAACAAACTTTGTATCTAGTCTACCTCAGAGCAGGGTACTAGGGTACGTTAATCGTCTTAATCTGTCCATTGGACATCAACAATTCCCTGTCACTCCCCAGCTTGAGATATTGATCCGCAGTGGTTGTTCCAAGTTATGGCAATGTCAAGAGCTTGTTAAACAGTCCTCCGCTCACCCATGATAACCCCGCACCAGAGTTGAACACGGGAGTACTCCTTGCAGCGTACCTGTAAACACCTCCCGGACAGGGAGCTTAGGCAGCTCGACATGATTTTAGTTACGGGCCATTAAAGCCTCGCCGTCCTAATTTATTGTATACCAGGTGAAATAGAAAGGTACCCGTATGTGAAAAACGGTACTACCTGCAAATGTTAGGTAAAACAAATGTGAGTGGTCCGTGCCTTTTTCGTTCATTTGACTTTATTTTTTTCACTGAGCGGGCATTCATTTGAAGAGATAATTTTTAAAAAAAACACAACCACCGACCATATTGTTTGGAAAACAAATCCATTAAACCAGGTAATTTAAAAAAGAGAGACAGCACAACATGTCCGTGCAAAGACGGATTTACGTTTTCTTTAATGACGTGATCAATATAAGCTATCTGCCCATCTGGCAATCACGTACAATCACCTAGATCATGTAATAGCGAACTTGGGCCTCTATGTTTCTAACTACACGGGGCGGTCGGGTAGGTTAGTGGTTAAAGCGTTCGCTCGTCACGCCGAAGACCCGGGTTCGATTCCCGACATGGGTACAATGTGTGAAGCCCATTTCTGGTGTCCCCGCCGTGATATTGCAGGAATATTGCTAAAAGCGGTGTAAATCCGTACTCACCCACTCTAACTACACGACACTATATATTCACTCAAAGGGGTAAAACGCCGAAAAACAACATCCAATGAAAGAGCAGATGCTACGACGCATACTAAGCATCCATGGCAAACTGCCAAGTAGTTAAGGTATAATTTAGGACAAGTGGAAATTTGACATTTTGAGGGTTTTGTTATATGTTATCATTATAAGGACTGTTGGACTAAAATGTTTCTAAGTTTCTATTGCTGAGCAATAGTGCGGATGCGCCGTTAAGCAATATTCACTCAGTATGACCAAGACGCAATCTTTGCCCACCTGGTTGTAGGGAGTTATGTCCCTTATCTGCATCGCCCAGCACGTGTACGAAATATACAACACTCATACAATCTTCACTGACAGGTTAATCCTCCGTGTTTCAGTGGCATATAATTTGTACGTATACTGTTAGCGGTGAACGAGTGAACGATATTTTAGCATTTGAACACATTGGTGTGTACACGGCGCACACAGAGGAGAAGTAATCCCACGAACAATACGTCTTTGTTACCACTAAGTGTACCGTACACGTAGACGAGGGGGGTTAAAGGGGCCAGTATACTAACAATATTTATAAAAGATCATTGGCCACGGCTTGGACTGTTCCATATTTCGAGATAGAAGGATTCAGTTACAGTTATTTATCAGAGTATTCTAGTAACAGTAAAACCAACACAATATATATTACGCACACGGACAGAAAAGAACGTTTTTTTGGCTCACAGTTATATGCGAAAACAAACTTTCGCGACTTTACACCATCGGAGTGACGCACGGTTATAGATGGACTTCTAAGCGGAATATAAGTCTTTTGATCCCACTCCGAGAAAAGTCGCCATACCGTTTTTACAACTTTTTACAAACTCTTTTCACAAAAAAAATTCTGTATATGTCTGATTGTCACTAATAAATCCTCCTCCTATAGTTGTTATTTGTAATGATGTAATTCATGATGTGAATTAAGGAAGTGTATAAATAACCATGATATATCGTTTTAGATGTTTGGAAATTGGACGATACCAGAGAGAATACTGGACAAGGAGAGTTCCAAAGGAAGGCGTAAGTATGATGATAACTGTGCATGAGTAGATGGCAATCTGTTCCAGAAACCATGGAACGCCTGTAAATGTAAATCTTGTCCCTGATCACATTTCACTGGATGTGATTCAGAACAAATCAGGCCAAATGAAATCAGTCTTGTAGTAAATCCATGTTGAGATTGATGAAACGTGCTGAATAATAGTTGTTACAGTTTTTTTAGGTTTAGGTTTCAAGGTCACGTTTGCTTTTTTCAGGTAACATTCTGAAGGTCACAAAGCCGGTAGATGACAACTCACCAGCGACACGTAAGACGTGGAGATTTCTATAGTTCAGATATCTGCATCGGGTGGTCACATTCAGTGATCTTGTGACCTGGGCTCCGTTCCGCAAAACGATAGTAGGGCTAAGAAGATCGTAACTCCCATACTTTAACATAAACTTAATTCAATGGTAGTGCTAAGATCCCATACTTTAACATAAACCTAATTCAATGATAGTGCTAAGATCCCATACTTTGACATAAACTTAATTCAATGGTAGTGCTAGGATCCCATACTTTAACATAAACTTAATTCAATGGTAGTGCTAAGATCCCATACTTAAACATAAACTTAATTCAATGGTAGTGCTAGGATCCCATACTTTAACATAAACTTAATTCAATGGAAGTGCTGAGATCCCATACTTTAACATAAACTTAATTCAATGGTAGTGCTAAGATCCCATACTTTAACATAAACTTAATTCAATGGTAGTGCTAAGATCCCATACTTTAACATAAACTTAATTCAATGGTAGTGCTAAGATCCCATACTTTAACATAGACTTAATTCAATGGTAGTGCTAAGATCCCATACTTTAACATAAACTTAATTCAATGGTAGTGCTAAGATCCCATACTTTAACATAAACTTAATTCAATGGTAGTGCTAAGATCCCATACTTTAACATAAACTTAATTCAATGGTAGTGCTAAGATCCCATACTTTAACATAAACTTAATTCAATGGTAGTGCTAAGATCCCATACTTTAACATAAACTTAATTCAATGGTAGTGCTAAGATCCCATACTTTAACATAAACTTAATTCAATGGTAGTGCTAAGATCCCATACTTTAACATAACTTAATTCAATGGTAGTGCTAAGATCCCATACTTTAACATAGACTTAATTCAATGGTAGTGCTAAGATCCCATACTTTAACATAAACTTAATTCAATGGTAGTGCTAAGATCCCATACTTTAACATAAACTTAATTCAATGGTAGTGCTAAGATCCCATACTTTAACATAAACTTAATTCAATGGTAGTGCTAAGATCCCATACTTTAACATAAACTTAATTCAATGGTAGTGCTAAGATCCCATACTTTAACATAAACTTAATTCAAGGGTAGTGCTAAGATCCCATACTTTAACATAAACTTAATTCAATGGTAGTGCTAAGATCCCATACTTTAACATAAACTTAATTCAATGGTAGTGCTAAGATCCCATACTTTAACATAAACTTAATTCAATGGTAGTGCTAAGATCCCATACTTTAACATTAACTTTATTCAATCGTAGTGCTAAGATCACTTTATGGAACGCGGGCCTGGCTGATTGTGTGTCATTGTACCGATTGACCGTTGCCAACGCTTTGAGGCCAGGGTGTGTCCAGTCCAGGCTTGGTTATATACAGGTTGGCGTATTTCAGCTTGAGTCCTGCTGACTGCGATATCACCCCACATCCACTATGACGTCGCCAGAGCAGTTTACAACGTTATAAACCTGTCCTATAGCTCCAACCAACCTCCATAGTGTTCATGGATTCAATAGGACTAGAACCGACTTTCATTTGGACACTTTTCCCTGATCTATATGCATGAGCATTAATTAATCACCACCTGATTCAAAATCTAATTCCGAAAAATAATGGAACCCTAACTTGTCAGCATGTTGTATAAATGTACCCGCAGGTGCATCACGCAACCTGAATGAACTAACACAGGTTCTGCACCAGGAACGGCAGAGGATCCCGATGTTGAACATCAGTAGTATGAGGAGATGCCTCGCAAGTGTCATCAGTGAGGGGGTGGATACTCTAGAAACGGACTGCAGAGTCAGTGGTGATTCCTAGGTTGACAATAATCGTTTTGCACTGCATAATGTGACAGTCGTGGTGTGGACTGGGGTTACTTTTCAGCGTTGTTGAAATTAACGTGTTTAGACTTTTTCGCATAACGCCAATAAATCGGTACCGATTGCTAGTGTCAGCTTCGTTAATTGTGTAGTGGTAGTGCTAGGCGTCCTGTTTGTCAGTTTCCAACAGTTTTATTTTTTAAATGTTGGACATATCCGAAAAGGTGGGTGGTGCTTAACTGATGCTTATGAGTATACATACCTGACAGCAATGATACTGTAATGATATAATGCACTGTAATGATACATACACACTGGAGGTTGAGAACTCCATGTTGAACAACCTTGGGGATAAGATTGGTCAGTCCTATTTTATCCACCTTGCCCTGTCGCATACCAACAGCGTTTGTAGCGTTAACACCGCCGTTATTGCAGTTCCAGTCATAAGGAAAAAGACCCCAGGTGCCCGCCATCCTTCCCCAGCTCGGAGCTCACACCTTCCCAAGATGTCGTCCAGGTCCGCCCGGCCACCCACCAAGCCTGTAGCCAAGTCCCTGCCGTGTACGCCTATCCCGAGAGCCAAGTCGGTCGGCGCACATGACCGCGACAGACTGAAGGAGGTAGGCCGAGTTTGTACAATCACTTGAAGGTACTTCTCTCCTACGCTAAACGTCGTGATATCATATTTTGCTGGTCACTTGAGGTGGTGCAGTCCTCTGGGCTGTGCAGAATTGCCTCCTCTAGGCGTGCAAGAGCCCAGTTCTCCTGGATTCGAAGTCCAGATTTGCCTTGAATAGACTCCCTGGTCCCTCCTCGTGGGTTTCACCAAGACCTGGAGTTTTCTCCCTTGATAAGCTGAGGCACCATAATATCGCTAAAATACTGTTCCAGTAGTGTTAAACCTAACTCACTTTTTTCTAGTATCGATGATGGTGATGGTGTTGGCGGTGGTGGTGGGGATAATTATGATGATGGCGGTAACAGCATAGTGCTTGGATCGCCTAAACCTCTTTATTCTGGTGTTAAATCAAATGAACTCTTTCTTTGTTTTGAAGCTTCAGACACGATTTATCGATCAAGCAAAGAACCTTTGATTGTGCTTTGATCATCTAAAGAACCCTACACATAACGACAATCATAAGTGGAATGCGACTGTTCCAGGAACTGTGCGGCTCCTTGAGGCCCGGGGCTGTCGGCCTGGCCGAGGACTGGATGAAGGACGCCCCTCACCTGGAGCGCGAGGTTATAAAGAAGATCCTGCGCATGCAGGAGAAGCGGTCGCACCTGGATCAAGCCATGAGGAGGACACTCCTACCGGACGCACGCCAGGCCGTGGAGAAATGGCTGGATCGGGCCACTGAAAGCGGTAGGTTCCTCTTTGACTTACTGACCACTTTATTCTCCAGCGGCTGCCTAATTATGGATGTGTATATGATGAAATTGATACAAAAATTCGATTTGGATGTTACAACTGTTTATAGGTATAGACAAAGAATAAATGTTAAGCTCCCCCTCTATATTTCAATGACTGGTCGTACGGACGTTCGCATTGAAACCTTGATGACATAACCTAGGAAAAACGAGTGTAGTTTGCAAGAAGTCACCTCTAATAATAAGAAAACATAAAAAGTTTATCCTGTTTTGATATTTTTATCGTGATTCCAACAGAAACTCAGGGGCACTGCAAAAACAGTAGCCACAACAACTATGGAGGTGCAGAGTCAGGAACACAATTCTACATCATGACTGGTGATGAAAAATGTCATTTTAAGTCCAAAAAATTACATTCACTCTCTTGCTCTCGTTTCTCTTCATCCGGGAGCAGAAATTCTGCACATCGTGTACGGAATAATGTCTATTTCAGAACGCCAAGTTGCACTCAAATTCTTCACGTCTCTTGCCGGAACTAAACTCATGGGGGTGACAGCTGACGAACAAAGGTCAAGGTTCCAGCAGGTCATCAGTACGCTGCAGAGGTAAGGATAATGTTCTACACTTAGCTTTGCCTGTTTGTTCTACATGGTGTCATGTTCATATATGAACATCAGTTCAGTTCAAATCAGTAAATTATGTTTTGTGAAATTATCTGACTTCGAAATAGTATATGATAAAAGTGTAGTCTCGGGGAAAGAAATAGTTTCTCCGAGTTGATGATATAGAACTACTCGGAATATGTCTAAACAATTAATACGAACACTATCATACAAACACGATGTCTCATACCTCCAGTGTACACAGTGCTTCCAAGTATTCTCCAAACTACCATGTGCTTGGTAGAGTAATTAATCTACCAATCGATATCATGTATGGACAAACGGGAACAGGCAAATGTGGAAGAAAAGGGGAAATCTGGTATTCTATCGTGGTACGATTACTACAACAATATTAGATGATATAGAAAATATCATTTACACAGCAGTGGCAGTGTGTTTAGTGAGTGAGTGAGTATGGTTTTACGCCGCTTCTAGCAGTATTCCAGCAATATCACGGCGGGGGTCACCAGAAATGGGCTTCACACATTGTACCCATGTCGGGAATCGAACCCGGGTCTTCGGCGTGACGAGCGAACGCTTTAACCACTAGGCTACCCGACCGCCCCCAGTGTGTTTAGCATTAACTTGATTCCTTGATGACGTAACTCTATTGTTGTAGCAGTTGATTCTGGGCCAGTACTTCACTGGTTATTCCGAACATAATTTAAACAGTCAAGTAAAACTGACGCAACCATGGGTCATTATGCAAAATCATAGAGAAATTATATACCAACCATAACATGGTTTAAGTCGGAAATATCACCGGACCGGTTGATTCTGGAGGCAGTTTTATGTGTAACGATGACTGACGATGTGGTAAAGCTGGACTAATGTTGAGTATACCGATACACAGTATTCACGCTCTGTTGCAGGAACAAGGGACGTGGCACCCCCCGTCCCTCTGACCGACCCACAGATTCCAGTCAGGACAACTCCCGCCTGCAGTTCGTCAAGTTGCTGGACCCGGAAACACGCTCACGGCGCTGGCAACAAACCACGTGGCACCATCTCCCAGAATACCGGGACAAGGACCGCGTGAACAACTGGAGCTCGCACTACATCCGCCCCCACGCCGCTGTCCCCCGACACTTCGTCATCCACCCTGACTGGGGCTGAACCCGGGGGGCAGAACTCACCCAACTTGCTTCAGCCAAACCGAAGCCAGTGATTTACAAAACAGTAATGGAATTTTAATCTGGGTAATTAAACATTAAATATCAACTTCGGGCCAAGTTATATGATGCAAAAAAGTCTCTTTATTCTTACATTATAGTTAAAAAAAGTCTGTTTCTCTTCACATATATATTTCCATTCGATGTCTAGATTTTAATTTTATTGACGTTATTTAAATATTCTGGGATTGTATGAAGAAAAATACAAGTTCTAGTTTTGTTGTAAAAATAAAAATGGAAAGACACCACAGTCACGAAGAAATTTGGTTCCAGTCCTATTGTGAACCTAGGTGTTTTATGGGTCCTTGGGCTAGATCCATGTAATTGCATGTTTCATATATTTGAATGTTGAAAAAGTGCTGAAAAGTGACAGGCAGTTCTGTAAAATACATTGTAGTAGATAATTTTAGTCGAAGTAACAACAGCAGTCTTTTATATTACGGAGATCTCACTGATTTGTAACATTTAAATGTTTGTACATATACATCCAGTATTATTGAGTTTAATCAACTTCAGGTTGAAAAGTCTCTGCACTTCATTTGTTATAGCTAGTGTGTCTTCATACTCTAAATATTCGGATATTTCGGAACATAGATTATGACATATATTGTATTGACTAGAATGGAACAAAGGATAAGGCAAAAGAAGAAGGTTGAATTCTCTTAGAAAAAGAATGTGTCGAGATGAAAAGTATTTCCCTATTGTTTGTCTCCTATGCAAGTTGTTTATTACAATCTAATCAAAAATGCGTAAAATGCAAAGTTAATTTTCTTCAAAATATATATCAGTGTAATCGAACCAAGCCTTTGCAAACTTGAGACTTCATGTTGCCTTTCTATATATACGATCCATGGTAAATATATAATTCAAACCTTGCCCGAGTGCGAAGCCAGCACAGCCGGAAGCGCTCGTTAAATCTCTTTAAATATCAGTAATCGTTTCGGCAATTACGTGCGTGGGTAGAACCTCCACCAAAGGTTCAGTAATTAGTATTACTACTTGGTAGATATCTACCGACAACGGCACTGATCGATTCCTCTCGGCATTGGCCCACTTATAATTCTTGTATATATTTTCTGTTCGGGAAGACAGATAAACTTGAATGTCTGCACGATGGAATGTTTCGTTTAGATGTACAAGAATGCTTCCTTGCCGAGTGGTTGACATGTGCACCGTTACAACCTGCAGTACTCAGCAGTATTAATACCAAGTATTGACCCCTTCTGTGATATTTGGAATGCATACATCAGTCGATGTGAGTGTACCACTATTTATTTTATCTATCACCCTTTTTATGTATACCGACACAAAAAAATAAGCATAAGCGAAACTGAATATTCTTTTCAGGAATTTTAGAATAATTCTGCCTTATAGACGTGTTTCTTTTGATGTTTAAGTTAGACTCGCACTAAGACAACCATAAGTCTTATAAATAGGGAGTATGATCTCGTTAATTTGTCTATCGGGGATGCTTTTTTGTGTATGTCGTTGTTGGTGACAGGTGAACGTTCTGTAGAACACCCTATCTGTTAATAGTCCTGTTTTTTAAGCATGCACAATAAATATCCAGAACTGTTCTTGATTGAAAGTTTCATAACCTCGTACATATCACAAATACGAATATTTAGGTACGTACAATACAAACTGAAATTATTGTTCGAGTATACAATAAATAGAGTGTAAAATGAATACACTACTCATAGGGAAATCATATATGTCATTCTGTTTAGATATACATGTGACATATTGTGGGAATATTCTGGTTTTCTTGAACAATGCACAACCACGACAAAATTACATTGTCCTTGTGATTGAGAGGTTATATATCAATTGTAAACATTATTGCCATATTCTCAACACTCTACGCAATGTACAAACAGAAGATCAGTTGATGAGAAGTGAAGCTGTCAGAACCTCTATATAGCTTAAATGACTGTGTGAAGCTGTAATTTCCGATATCATGCACCAGGACGGGACACTATATAATTATACATGCGGGAATCCTGGTTATCCAGTCAGTTGGGTTATATGTATTATCCGGGTTAGGTTTTCCGGGCTTACACGGTTCCTTCTGTGGATTTTTTCCTATATTCTACGATCAACTCCAAGATGGTTTGTGTAGTCCCTGCACCGGCCGTGCAATGGTGTTTGCTGTGCTATATAGCCACTGGGTGTGTGTTCTGATATTAGTGATAGCATCGTGACAAACATCTGTGTAGCAATGATTAAATGTTTCATGAAACTTTTTGTTCATTCGTTGATACATATTACTAATTTATTTTTGAAACATCGTAGTTTGTTGCTTGCAATAAAATCAAATTAACAGTCATTGATTGTTTATATTACTTTTTTTGCACGCATGTGCTCATAAAGTTGGCGAATCAGGTGTATTTGCCGCTTGCAGACATGACCAGCATGTGTCCCTTCAATCTCTTCTACCATATAGATTATTCCGTGTCATTTAATGCTATATTACACACACAGTGTTGCGTTGTATGTTCAATATGGTGGCCTCGTTTGAGGATAACAAGGTCTCTGTGCAGAGTTCCGTCCCCTTGACTGTGCTAGGATCCGCTTGTAGAGGGTTCGAATACCAGATTCAGCCCGATAAAGAACTAGCACCAGCAACACTTAATGCGTGCTATCTAAAGGTATAATTAATGTTTGGGTCTTCTCCTAATACGCTGAAACTTTGTACTTCCAAGTCTACATTTGCAGATAATATCTGGACGTGATCTCGATATAGGACCATTCCGGGTGATAATATATGTTTATCTAGATATACGACCAATCCGGGTGATTATATTGAGAAGTTTATCTGTATATACCACCAATCTAAAAAAAATAATCATATGTTGAAAATATTTATTTGAATATAATTTGTGTTCAGCAAAATAAGCACAACAAAAATTGCTCGTCAAGTCATGTAGAGGTGTAATGTACATGCAAAATTTGCACACAAATATAGGTAAAATATATACACTTCACCTTAATACAGTAATACATTCATGGCAGGTTGACTGATCCGTCGCTTAGTCAGTCAAACAGGCCAGTGACGTTACATCATGAAATCATTTATGTATGCTTAACAAATAAGTGAATGTTTGCATGTACACTAGACTATATATGTGGATTACAGGTAACAACACGTATATCCAAAAGTCCTTCAAACAATGACATCTATTAGTCATCTTACCGTATTAATCGATCGGTTATCATTGTGTATATATATAATGGCACATAACAGAGCTAGGTTCATCTTCCTGGGGCAAGGGCGTTAACTGGACTTTTATAGTCAGTTAACTCCCTTGCCTCAGGAAGATGATCTAGGTTAGGCGTATTTCACGACGCTGGTCCTAACAGTGAAATATTCTGGTTAGAGGTGTCACTCACACACAAGCTCTTTTTGTAACAATTTGCACATCATATAGACCACCAACGACACCAATGGCTATTGGTCAGTTGTTAAATCCTATGAAATTATTTCCCTCCTATAATTCTACGCAAGCTGGTAAGTTGGAAAATATATGTGATCAGTGTGAGTAAATCCATTTAGTCACTGAAACACATCGATGAGATCATCACAAATCAACTTTCCTATACAGTGAAACCCTGATAGTCTGGACCCTGTACGTTGAGGAAGTCAACCTCACGGAGAACTACCACTGTGAACGTCTATACATTATATATGGGACATCAGAAAGTACCCATTATACGTGTATCCTGATATTGGTTAATCTGGACGATGTACGATGGACGACCGGGTACTGTCCTGATTAACAGGGGTTCAGTGTATCTCATTAAGGCCCCTCTCATATCATTTCGTGAAAGTAGTTCCGGTACTAGACAACGTTGGAGTGGGACGAGCCACGTCAACTGTCCGAGTCCGCATCTTCAGCTAGTTCTGACCACGTCCGCTGTCTGTCCAGATCGCCCTGACACAGCTGACCTAGTTTAATGACGACCTCATCATTGGAACTCCTCCACAGGAGGAAACGCCGATATACGAAATACTGGTTCAGGGCCCGACGACCTGGAATAGAACAAACGTTTTATTGGCAGGGCCTAAACCATAAGCATAAGTGGGACATTAATGGAATCGTGGTATATCCTTCATATATACGCCAGATCCTATAGAACGACGTGTTGTCCTCGAATTGTAAGAAGCGAGAGATTCATGCCAGAATTGACGCCATGTCTATACAAAGTGGAATGACGCCATTTACTGAACCCTTTTATGCCAGAATTGAAGCCATGTCTTTACTCTAGGAATGACTGATGCCACTTACTGCAACCCTTCATGCCAGAATTGAAGCCATGTCTTTACTCGAGGAATGACTGATGCCACTTACTGCAACCCTTCATGCCAGAATTGACGCCATGTCTTTACTCGAGGAATGACTGATGCCACTTACTGCAACCCTTCATGCCAGAATTGACGCCATGTCTTTACTCGAGGAATGACTGATGCCACTTACTGCAACCCTTCATGCCAGAATTGACGCCATGTCTTTACTCGAGGAATGACTGATGCCACTTACTGCAAGCCTTCATGCCAGAATTGACGCCATGTCTATACATAGTGGAATGACTGATGCCACTTACTGCAACCCTTCATGCCAGAATTGACGCCATGTCTATACTGAAGGAATGACTGACGCCATTTACTGCAACCCTATGAATTTAGCATCCTCTTCAAAACAGACAATGTTGCATGTGAAAAGATGAGCGGAACATTTTTATCAGTACCGTCGGCATGTACAAAGAATAATTATTCTTGTCTCGTGCTTTCTGGAACGAGTTTATTGTTTTAGAACTCATCCCTAACCAACCTTCTGCCATGTGTTCAGACGGGGAGTCCACTCGCACGATGTTTGGGTGTACAGCTTTTCTTATAACCGCCAACACCTGGAAACAAAGAACATGGAGCCATATACACCATGTTTCGCTTTCTGACTGATCACCATAAATATTCAAGAACGTCTCTCAATTGTGACAATGTTAACTGTTGGCTTGGATTTTGTATCGAGATTAGATATTCTTTCAGCTTCAACTGAAAAACCGGATATATGTTTTTATATAAGACTTGTTTATAAGTAAAATACAACGTAATCTTGGTGGCAAGCAATTTCTTTTCTTCCGAGGTCTGAAGCATACTTATTTTTTTCAAGAATGTTGAAGAATATCAAATGGTTGGTCACTAAAACCCTACCTCTCTCCCTTGCTTGTCTCCTTCTAAGAAACACCCCATGACATTGATGGCTGCCTCCTCTGGCCTCAGTTTGCTGATCATGTGCCCGAGCTTGGACCAGAACCTGTATAAAGTATCAGCATATTCATATGGTATACCATACATGACATCAGCGCATTCATTCAAAATCATAATGCCCAGAACCTGTATAAAGTATCAGCATATTCATATGGTATACCATACATGACATCAGTGCATTCATTCAAAATCATAATGTCCAGGACCATAGAGTGAAAAGTATCCAGTTTTCGTGTCATAGCCATGCTTCCCCGAGATTACGGGTCAAAATATGTCCCTACACCTTTGCCTGTAGTAAAAACCGACTGCTTGGATTGGGTAGCCTTGTGTGGCTGGTGTGTGACTCCGCGATGCTATCCCCTGCTATGATATTTACACGGAGTGTTCACACCTCCTTTCTCACTGGCACGTGCGTGTCATCGTAACCAGATGGCGTGGGACGTTGCTCATAATATCAATCACTGGATTGTCTTGAGCAGACTCGGTTATTTCCAGGCCGCCGACAAGGAGCTGCGGTATTGCTGAGTGTGGCGTTTAACAAGAAACAAACGAACATCAGTGTAATAATGTCTCTGATTGGCACATACTGGAACGATACTTACTCAATGACGGGTGCATAGTCAGCCCGCTGCAGTTTCTGGGGCGTCATTACGTAGTTCTTCAGCAGGTAACAGAACCCAGTTCCGCCCTGCAACAGAACACAACCTTAACACAAATTGAACCCACCAGACCACATCGTTAACAGTGCCAGAACACAACGTTAACACAACCAGAACATAATGTCAACCCCATCAGAACACAACGTTAACACGACCAGAACATAATGTCAACCCCATCAGAACACAACGTTAACACGACCAGAACATAATGTCAACCCCATCAGAACACAACGTTAACACGACCAGAACATAATGTCAACCCCATCAGAACACAACGTTAACACGACCAGAACATAATGTCAACCCCATCAGAACACAACGTTAACACGACCAGAACATAATGTCAACCCCATCAGAACACAACGTTAACACGACCAGAACATAATGTCAACCCCATCAGAACACAACGTTAACACGACCAGAACATAATGTCAACCCCAACCCGTCGTCACCCTTTTAACATTCTTAGAAGAATCTAAAATACCAGTTAAGTCTTACCCCACATAGCAGTAAACACGAATGCATCTTGCATCCCTTGTGGTAATGATCAAGTCGACTTTGTACTGCATCTGAAAAATATATCATTTAATATGTATTCTAAAGTTTCCGTTCTATGACAAGAATTCTCACCATCGTTATTATGCTATTGTTAAAATATCTTCTTTTCACGTGTATACACATATAAACTGCTTGGCAAAATGAAGAATACAACCATGTTTCATGGTGTCTAAAAATAAACAAACAAGATTTTTTTATTAGATGAATATATAAAATTTGGATTGGGGTATCATAGTTGTGTTTTGGACCTTACGTTTGCAGTTTTCTGAGCCTGTTTTCAGCCTAGTAACGTTTTGACAACGTTTGTAATGTTTTGGTCAAATCTAGTGTACACCTTCTTTTGTCCAGCAGTGTACACCTTTTGCTTTAACTGAAAATATTTAAACAGTTACAAAATGCATCGTCTACAAATTTGTTTATTATCAAGGCTTTCTTTAAAGCACTTCTTTGTCAAATGTTCCGACCACGAGAGATCTAGAACAAAGATATGTATCCTCAATACTTGAACATGTACTTACTTAAGATATCTTCGAAAGACCATGTCTCGAAGTCCTGCAAACAAACGTACAAATGAAATATAGAACGCTTTCTGTTATGTTTCCGTACGCTTATATAAATCGCTTTTGCTGTCATTGATATGTAAGAAGGTTACACCAATCACAGACTATATTATTATCCATTCTTGTGGTTTCGATCCACTTTAAGTAATACCCAGCAATATAACATGGAGAGACACCAGAAATATATGTTTCACACACAAAACCATTATTGGGAATAGAACACGGGCCTTGGTGTGATGTGGAAACACATAAACCACTAGACTACCCCAACGCCACACCAGGTACTCCTTAGTTTTAAAACTTTCGGGGGGCACGGGTGGCCCAGTCGTCTAAGGCGCCGCGATTCGCTGTGCAGAGTGGCGTCCCTTGGGCACGCCAGACACCTATGATTGTGGGTTCGAATCCCGGTTCGCCCCGATTATGTTTCTAGGTTTGTCTGCACCATACCCGTGCTCGTGGGTTTCACCGAAGTGGTAAACGTCTGAGACCTGCATCACTTCGTGATTTCCTCCCACATTAAGCTGACATGCCGCGATATAACTGGAATATTGTTAAAAGCGACGTTAAAACCAACTCACTCACTCACTCACTCACTTTAAAACTTTCACATTGTCACTATAAACATCTACTCTGAATCTTAATCAACCTTCACCTTGCCTTTGGCTGAGTTGTTAAATAATATTCTTCTCAGCCATTCATTATTGTACAATTAAAAACATCTGTTACATGTTAAAGTGGCGGTATGGTAGCCTAGTGGTCAAAGCGTTGGCTCGTCCCGCCGAAAACTGAGGTTCGCTTCCCAGTGAAATCTCTGGAGTCTCCCTGCCATGATGTGCCTTAGATATTGCTAAAAGCCGCGTAAAACCTACTCACTCACTCAACCCACTAATCAGTTGTCACTCACACCCACACTCACTCACTCACTCCATAACAGATCATCACTCGCAGACTTAAACTATGTTAATTCCATTTCAATGTCAATGTGTTACTGCCATGGATTTCCAAATATAAGATTAATGGTGAGTTGGATTGGATTCTCTGAAGGTTATAAAGGTAAGTATTCCGAATTATGCCAATATTGGATATTGTACTCACGTAAACAATAAATATGACATTTTTATCCTTCTTGATCGCCTTCTTCATAGAATGACATCGGGGCAGGCGCGATGACACCAGCTGTGGGAAAACAGAAGCAGAACACAATCAGCTGCGTATTCCAACCCATTGTATAGATGTCGTAGCCGGACAGAGTAAACTAGAGGTCGACGTGTGAACGTCACATTTTGTCAAGTTAAATACCATACTGATGCGGAAGTTAGCACTTTTACCGACATCTTCCTGAGGCAAGGGAGTTAACTGACCATACAAATCCAGTTTCCACCCTTGCCGAAACAGGCTGGAATTATGTGGTTATATTTTGGCTGGACTAACGAGTCTATGCGTAGTCCAATCAAAATCGCGTAACGATATCGACATCCGGTTCGTGCTGTATCTGCAAAGCATGTGTACCAACAACTCGGCCTCAACAGATATTTTACAAATCTTTTCATATTTTTAATCAAGGTGCACACGTGATTTGATGCACTTGGCGAAGTAAGACTCGTTGTATCACAATACAGATCTTGATTATCGATCAGATTGTCTTGACTAGGCGCTGCCATTTTATTTGAAGCAAATGTAAGTGATATGAGAGGTGGAATCTGATTGGTAGTTTGATAGAAGGGACATAACTTAACATAATAGCAACTGGTGACGCTACGATCGTGCCAAGAAATTCCAGCCTAGTTCGGCAAGGGTGGAAACTGGACGTTTACAGTCAGTAAACTCCCTTGCCTCGGGAAGATGTTTAACCGAGGGAGAACAAAATGCACCGAATCCGAATAAAGAACGCAAGGACCCTTCAACTCTTTCCGTCAAATAAATGTTTCCCTTTATTTAGAAATATAAACGACAACCTCTTTCCATAGTCAAAAGAAATTTCTGCTAAAAACCTGGTACGATTCCGACTACATCATAACCATGTGATTGTGAATCACTACCAAATAGAACCCGTGAAGATCCGGGGTAGAATAGGTCTTCAGCAACCATCGTTGCCGTAAGAGGCGACTAACGGGATCGGGTGGTCAGGCTCGCTGACTTGGTAGATGCATGTCATCGCATCCCACCTGCGTGGATCGATGCTCATGATGTCAACAGACCACCGTCATATAGCTGTAATATTGCTGAGTGCGGCGTCAAACAACAAACAAACAAACGCTATCTAGTAAGTGATGATAACAGGTGTTCGCGAAAAGGTAAGTTTCACCAATCTGGTAAACGTCTTAGACATGCATCCTTCGACGTGATATAAATATCTGTTCTGTGAGAAATACTGTTCAATGCGGCGTTAAATCAATCTCACTCACTCACTGAGTAACTTACTCACTCACTCACTCACTCACTCAGACGCCATCGATAAGAAACCCACGGTCCCTTCCACGTGCCATCCTTATGAAAACAAAAAGAATCAATGTAACTATAAAAGTAATGCTAAAACTCCCATGTTATCAAATTAATCACACCTAATCGGTACTGTTTCGTCAATACTTCTCGAACAGCCGATGTGTGACAGTCGTGAATATTTTACACAATCAGTATCTCTAGTTCGTGCCTAATCGACATCTCTTCCCAAACCTTCTTTCTAATACAGTTGTTTCATGTTACCATGACAACTATCAAGTTACCGATCTGAAACTCTCAAATATTCAAGAGATTGGTCGTTCCAACGTGCCCTAATCGGTTTAATCCCGCAGAAACAACTTTCATGTGACACGAAAGCCGGACCATTAAGCGATCGATAGGCGTCTTTCTAAACAAAACTCAATACAAAGATGAAGTGCCAATGTTTATTTTCGAAACTTTCCCTTGATGCTGATTCCCTACACAGGCGGTTTTAAAAAGGTACATCTGAACATTTTAAAAATTGAGATAATACATGTCTATAATCCTGTCAGCCATCCCTCTTCAAATTGACCACAGGTATTCGTTCCCAACCTGTCCACAGACTTAATTTAGAATAGGATGTTTATTCTCGCCATTGTACCTGCTAAAACTCTCCATACATGCCGACAACAGACCTTGTTCGTCTTTGGTAGAACATGCCCCTAATGATATACTGACACACATTCAAAACTCATTTTTGATTTTTTGTAATATTTGGCAAAATGGATATAAAAATAAAATAAAGTTTGTCTGTGTATTTAGGCATGGGTTGGTTGGTTTGTTATTTTACGCCGCACTCAGCAAATTTCAGCTATATGACGGCGGTCTGTGAATAATCGACAATCCAGTGATTGATATCATGAGCATCGATCCACGCAACTGGGATCGATGACATGCTTCAACCAAGTCAGCGAGCCTGACCACCCGATCCCGTTAGTCGCATTTTACGACGAGCATAGTCGTCTTTAGACAAGGGTAATAAAATAAAATAATATCGTTGTACGGGTTCAAATCTGATTCAGTGTGTTTCAATGAGCTCGAGAACACATGTTGTCATTTCGAGTTCCAATTTATTATGTTATGTTAAAATGCCTTGCCACAAGAAATGTACCGCCGTACAAGCTCTGCCAGATTTGAAGTTCGGGTAGTCCAGATGAGCTCCCATCAACTATCCAGGGAATCTACTTTTTTTTGTGAATGTGACACTTCTCACATCAAACTTGCCGAGAAGATAAAAAAGGTGAATATTGTGCCCCACACATGATACCACCTTAAGCCTCAACAATCCTAGCCTCAACAACATTTAAAAGCTTACCACAATCGCGACAGTATGGTAAACAAATAGAGTCACATGCGCTCGGATCCGACGTCTGTGAGCACTTTATACCTTCAGCGTTCTGTTGGTTTGTTGTTTAACGCCGCACTCACCAATATTTCAGCTATATGACGGCGGTTTGTAAATAATCGAGTCTGGACCAGACCATCCAGTGATTGACATCATGAACATCGATCCACGCAATTGGGATACGATGACATGCATCAACTAAGTCAGCGAGCAACCGATCCTGTTAGTTGCCTCTTACGACACGCATAGTCGCCTTTTACGGTCAGTATGGGTTGCTGAAGACCTGTTCTACCCCGGATCTTCACGGGTTATTGGTTTCGTAGTTGTAGAGGAGATGTATATGTCGACAACGTAACCGATAGCAACGAGACTGAAGGGCAACCGAACACACGACGGACAGGTGAGCTAAAAGATCAGGTTAGTGTTATATATTTCCATTCTCAGAGAATGATAAACTTAAATCCCAATTTAACAGAACGAGTAAAATGTCATCTCAAGCTAATCCTCATCCATGGCGAATGATGACAGAAGGTGAGAAATTGAATGCACGTGATAACACGTGAAACATGTATCTCAGACCGGTACTTGGTGAACGATGGCTTAATATGCGAATCTAAAATTGCTTTGTTAATCAGGTCCTACTTACGACTATCCTTGGGTTCATGAAGTTGTCGTGGCCGTAGGTGTGGACCCTCTCGTCGTGCTGCTCCTGATTCCAGCGCATCTTCTCAATCTCAGACACCACCCTACTGATGTCCTCCCTCGCCTGAACAGCTGCACAAAGACAACACAGACAATATAAGCTGCACAAAGGCAATACCACAGTGATAGAGACAATACAAGCTTCACAAAGGCAATACCACAGCGGTACAGACAATATAAGCTGCACAAAGATAATACCACAGTGATAGAGACAATACAAGCTTCACAAAGGCAATACCATTACCTTGTAATGACGTCATGCCAATGGCAGCATCAGCTTGTAATCTAGGAAGGTTGAAAGTCTGACCCGCGGGTTTCATCCACGGCCTCATGCGGCCAGTTCTAATTTCTTGGCGGGATTTCGACTCCTCGTCCCCTCGGTCATCAATCTCGCCGAGTCTCGAAATACTCTCGCCATATCTTGTAACAGTCTCGCTGAACTTTGACCCGATTGGCGGAAGTGGGGCTTGGGCGTTTGGTTTGGCGTGACGCGGCCTGGGAGATCTTTGACTACAAAAAGGAAAATACAATTCTCCAGAATTTTAATTCACGTGATCTGCAACATATACTGATGGCAACAAATAATGGAACAGACACAACAAAAATCTAAAAAGTCCAAAAACGCCGATAGTAGGTTTCATATATTAATCATGATGGTAGGGTAGAAGAATGGTTTCGAGGATCCGGGTTCGATTCCCCACAAGGGGAACCCCATTTCTAGTGTCGGTGTTTTCTGCAAAAACGGCCGAGAAAGTCCTACTCAGAACCAATGACACATCAAAGCGACAACAGAGAAGCATGAATATATCTATGTTAACAAGACCGCCTCCGTGGTCTAGTGGTAGACCGTCTGCCCAGAGAACCACTATCAAATAGTGATGATACAAGGTGTCCGCGAAAAGTTGAGCATATCTTGCCCCGCCATTAGCATCCGTCACAAACACATCCAAAGACAAGTCAACTGTACCCCTGAACAAAGACACTGGAATATTTGGTGAAGTCAAAATAGCGAATTGCATAATATATATTGAGCTGTGATGTCTGTTTAGTCGGGAGACACATTATAGCGTGGATACGCTATATATATACTATCGATATATATTAAGGGAACTAATGATCTGGATGTAGCTATCGCTGAGAAGTATATTTACAATACCGTGGCGTTGCAACTGATAGCAACATCTAATGCAATTTCATGCCATACATGAACAGCACGTGATGCGGCACATAATACATGTGCACACAGAATCACAATCACTGATGCAATTGAGCTAGGCACACGCCTGAAAATGCCTCCGAGGCGGTATCTCAATAAACAGGCAAAATGGCGAATTGTTGGTACAATAGAGTGTGGGACGTCAATACCCCAAGTTGCCCGAATGTGTGGCAAATAAAAAAAGTGTGATTTTTCGACAATGGGACAAGTACCGTCAGACGGTTGGGGATGCAATGGGCGTGGGTGGCCTGACAAAATACAACACCTACACAAAAGAGTCTCATGACATTAATTGCACTATATAATAGTTTCAAATCAATAGAGAATTTCGTACAATAACAAGAAAGAGATAATAAAACATATACCAAAATCAAATATCAAAAACCGACTCCATGCAGCCCTACTGAAAGCAAAGGGTTTGAACCTAACAGCTCACAATAGGCGGCAAAGATTGGTGTGGTTTAGGCAACACCAGGGACGCGTTACACCATGTTTACAGACGAATCAAGGTTTCGCCTCCGATTCGGAGATGGCAAAAAACCTTGTTGGCGACGTAGCGGCGAGGGCAACAATTCTTGATGCAAGGGCAACAATTCTTGATAATGATTTGTATGGGTGCGGTAGTGTCATCGTGTGTGGCGGTATCACACGTGACAGACGAACTAATCTGGTAATTGTGAATTGGCACTTGACGAACCAGCGATATGAGGTCAAACTTTTTGCGTCCTGTCGTCGTTCCATTCGTTCCATTAATTGTTATCGTCATTACACCTTCATTAGCATTTCATCAGTTCCCTTATTTTTTGTCGCTAGTGTATACATCAAACTGAGACATTTTCTTTGTTATTGGAGTAATAATTAACTGCTAGATAGATTTAATTTACAAAGTAATTTTTGAATGACTCAATCCTATTATGCAAGGACTGTCAATTGAACCGAGCCAAGTATCCTTTTAACGAATATGAAACGCGCTGCCATGAATTCATCGCTAACGACTATCAACGAGATTCTATTGAGCGTAAAAGCTCAATTGATCTTGAATATCGACTGACGACTTGGACTTGAACTTGAAAAGACAAACAAGTGATTAAAGTTACATGACAGGATCACTAAAAATCAATGACACGGGGTATTTCGCGAAAAGCGTAAGAGCGTCCTGTCCTACTGGTAGCACCTGCCAATTTTCATCAAAGAATTTTCAAAAAAGTAAGTGTTTGGTTGTTGCCATACGCCGCACCCAGCAACTCTCCTGCAATACAACGGTGGTCTGTAAACAATCGAGTCTGTACTAGACAATCCAGTGATCAGTATCCTGAGTAAAATTTTAATGATCCATCAATGACGCCATCAATATGTAGACTGGTTATTGGCTGTATATGCGTTGCCTCATATTTATCTTTATACAGCATTGCAAATACCAAGGCGACATATGTTATTAACCATGGTGTCTAATGTAAGAAAATAATTTTGGTCACCTCAAAATATCAAGGATCCGGAATCCAGACTTATTCAAAAGTGAATTATCAAATTATCTGAGTACATCTATTTTTCTCATTGACATTCGAGATATGTTCAAAATGTCTACAATTACCGTTAAGGGGGCACGGGTGGCCAAGTTGTATAAGGCACCGCAATTCGCTGAACAACCTATGATCGTGGGTTCGAATCCCGTTTCGCACCGATTGTTTCTAGGTTCGTTAGCACCATGCTCGTGGGTTTCACCAAAGTGGTAATGTTTGAGACCTGCATCATTTTCGTCCCTTATTAAGCTGAAACACCTTGATATAACTAGAATACTGTGTTAAACCAAACACTAATTACCGTTTAAGGCTTTCAAGGTGTGTCATATATCTGGCTTTTTTATGAAGTAGTTCTCTCTCGCCCAAAGCGACATCTAGCGCAACTTTACTCAGCCCTTCCTGTTGAAGCACCTCCCGCACCTGCGCAGGCATCATATAATCCGGGTCTTCAAAGTCAACTTCCGGGCTAGGAGTTGAGTAAGATGGCGACTCACTTGGACTCGGGTCTAACACACAAGAAGCCCTTTTCACAGGCATCGTAACCATGAATTGTAACGGGAAGGACGACAACTCATTCGCAACTGCAGTTGGTAAATCTCCGGTCGCCATGGTGACACACTTGTACCGTTAGTTCCAAAGTCAAAAGCAGAGAATACGCTCCATAAATCCTAAATATGTCCTGTCACTAGCAATCACCGAATTTGGTCTAGAAGAGCTCGGGAATCCATTTTTTAAGTCATCTTGGGTTGTGTACGTATATATTTACACGTTCCGGTCATAATTCATTAAATGACGTCACATCAATACACTCCTTTTGAACTTATCGGTATAAACACGTGCGGCATCTCTTTCCAGTTCTCCCCCAGTTAATCCCTATGCCGTCACGCACAACCGCACTGGGTCTTAGCTACGAATGTTTTTAAAGTCTTCATGTCAAGTCCATCCCAACATCGCTAATAAGTAACCAGCAAATGAGGGCTCGATCTCTGTATCGGCAACTGATCTGTAGTTCTCATTGAATTAATAATGATCATTACTTTACGCATCATTAAATGTTGATGCCCGCTTGCTTTTTCTTGGTAAATGCACGTTCTCTGTGCACTGAGTGGAACCGATCTCACTTTGTTGTTCACGTACATGGAAATGCCATTACGTACGTGACTTTAGCGCCATGTTGGAAGGAAATACTTGGAAAGGCATTGTGATGAACCCAATAACCTTGATATGCCTTATGATGAACAGTAGCCTTGATATGTCTTGTGATGAACAGTAGCCTTGATATGCCTTGTGATGAACACAGTAGCCTTGATATGCCTTGTGATGAACACAGTAGCCTTGATATGCCTTGTGATGAACACAGTAGCCTTGATATGCCTTGTGATGAAAGAAGTAACTTTGATGTGATCAATGCAAAAGCCTTGATATGCTTTGCTTTGTACCTTCACTGTTAAATCTTTTCACTTAATGTCTTTTAAATAAATCTTTGTAAAAATAGTAATCCTTTAAAAAAACACTGACGTCTTCTTATGAACTACATTTCTTGATTCCAGTTAGCTGATTTATTATTTTTAACTAGTTTGACAGACGAATCACTTTCGTCACATTCTGTCCACCGCTGATAAACAATCAGATTCAGGAGAACAATTGAGCAAACCAACTGACATACACGGAGTCTGTCAGTGCAGATGTCCAGTCTGAGTTGCTCTCCAGAGGTGTACAGAGAAAGCAACAAGAAGGACGATCCAGGCAGGCCACACTGGTATCCACTGTCGTTTAAACTACGCACATCCTCTTCCTCTGGTACAACGCAATCCTTAACAATCCTTTAAAATTGGTCCATGTTGTTAGTTGATATCAATGTTAGGTCACGGTCAGATATACGTACATTCAAACCTTATCCAAGCTGTAGTAATTCACAAGTCCTCCTTGAAATGATCTTGATATTCAACATCCACATACTTTAACATTTATCCGAGAGGGGGATATAGGTGTATATATAAGCAGTTCATATTCAACATCACATCCTTCAACATCTATTGGATAAGCTGTATATACAAGTAGTCCATATTCAACATCTCCAACCAGACAAATGTTCAGCATCAAGGTCCTCCAAGATCAAACTCTCCAAATAAAAAACACCGTGCAATCAAGCAACCTTCTCCGTGAAGTCAGATATGAATTTCACCAAACACCACCAGCTCCTACTCCGGGTTTAATCAGTTTATCCGTGCTCTCACCTGGATCAGCGCCCCAGTAACCGGGATCAGACGCACGCCGTTCCCACGGCCAACAGAGTGTCACTGACATCATGGTTACTGATCCTGCCTCCTGATCTGTGTTGAAGACACATGGGTCTTTAAGTCGACACGACCTACATGATTTAATAATTGGTTATGACCACATTCTGTGACTAAAGATAGAAGAATAAACAACGTCGCTTAGCGAAGCATCGTTGTCTTTCACTTACGGATCGATTTTCTCCGCGGTCAATACGTGTCTATCATAGCCTACTGTACTGGGTTGATCAGTCGTTCTGCCATGTCGCTGGCAATACCGTAGACACTCATCATTAGGTTCCCTCGGCAGCCTTTTTTGTTATTACTCGTCTATAGGTGTACCCTTGTGACCTTTTGGTGGAAGATCTGTTATTATACGTCTATAGGTGTACCCTGGTGACCTTTTGGTGGAAGATCTGTTATTACACGTCTGGATGGGCACCCTGGTGACCTTTTGGTGGAAGATCTGTTATTACACGTCTGGATGGGCACCCTGGT